CTTTTTCTAAACTACTCAAGTGTCACCGCCTGCCCGGCCCCCCCCCCCCTCCTCCAGCATTAAAATTGACAGACAAAATGGTGCTGCTTCTTGTTTTCTAGAGCTCTATATCAATTGGGTTCAGTGTCTTTTTTTATTTTGGAAATTATCTAAGACAAGGAAAAATAAAGACAATAAGGAAAACAAGGCCCCTTTTAAAGAATTCATTTTATTTTTTTCCCCAGTTTGGCATTCTAAAAATATTTGTCTGCAGTTACAAAAGCACGTGATCTCTTTTGTTATTAAAATTGAAGACGCATTCTTCTTCTGGAAATGCCCATTTACATTGACAAAAGAATTTCAGAAGCCAAGTGAATGCTACTGTAAACATATCTGTATGCAAGTATCTGAATAAATGGGCAACATGCAGAGCGTACATCAGATTTAAAAGGTTATAAAATATCAGTCAGCAATGCAGACATAATTAATCTGGGGCTATAGAATATTATGACCTAATAAATATTTAATAAAGTCATATTGGTTATTATAATAATTTTATTTTTCCTTAGCTCATCTTCCTTCCCTTTGCAAAATTTTCTATCAGCATCCAAAGCAATTTACTCTCAATTTAACCTATTTGTGTTTTAACAAGTTTGAGAAGAGACAGTCACTATGAAACTCCAGAGACACTGGACAGGAGCTAAGTGCTCTCCTCAGCAGGTAACAGCAGGGCATGACAGCTGAACTAAATACAAACTTGTACATATACGTATGTATGCTACCTGAAATCTATGGACTCCTTCAAAAAGAAAAAAAAACCAACAAATACCACCACCAAAAAACAAAAAACAAAACAAAACAAAAAAAACCCCACACCTTCCCTAATTTAAATAAAGAATGCAGAAGGTAATGCATCAACTATGTAGCTAGTAGGCAAGCAACACTCACTTTTTTATTCATACAAAACTCATTTGTTGCTCTCAGTGAGAAGAAGCTCTTTGGAGGCTCACTGCCTCCCTGCTCTCTCTCCTTTTTATAAAATAATCATGATCAGTGCTTCTATTTGCATTTCGGAGTACTGCTGCTGGATGTTAGTTACAAGAGTTCTGAAAAAGTTTTGTGGACGATCCTGAAAACCGCTGCAATAGTCAAGTCTTTACTGCAAACTATTACGTATATAGGCTTAATTCAAATCCCATTTGAAGTAAATGAAGAAAAACCCCACTGCTCAGATGGAAAGAGGCTTCTGGATCAGACCTTTTGTTTCTAGAGGTATGGCACAGCACATTTCAAATGCGTGCAGGAAAGAAGAGCGTGCAATCACTGAACAACTGGTAACACTAATTTTCTGCTAAAGCATGGCTGTTTTTACAAAGGGCAACTCAAAATGATGAGAGCTTACATTTGATGGTATATGTTTTTAAAAGGCTGCAAAGTGGCTGATTCTGGGCATTTTATTCTGCATACATGCCTACAAAACATGCATCATAAAGTGAATTATGTCTGATTTTGAAGACAACAGATTTTCTGAAAACATGACAATACTAGGATCACTAGGAGATTTAAAAACATTCCGTGTAAGTGCAGGGATAGCTGTGGAAAAATGTTTGCAGCATTCTTAGGAAAAAAAAACACAAAGTGACTTGCTTGCTAGTGTTAAGTCAAAGTCAAGATTCAGCAGTGACTTCCACGAAATGTGCAGACGTAACACATTAATGAATATCTGGATAGAGAGGGATGGATCTAGAAACCCATCAAACTTAAACACGTTCTCTCTGTTGCAGCCCGGGCACAGAGTTAAATGCACAAGTGCAGATTTACACAGTCAGTACAGTTTACAGCAGTACAAACTAAGGACTTGCAGAAGTGCACATGCGCTTGAAAAAATCTGCCCCGCCATTTTATATCTACTGGGATCACTCTCCTCGTGAATGCCTATTGTGCTGGCTACAGCCATTTCAACTTTTTGTCTTCTGGTTGCAATCATAAGTCTAGCTAGCTGCAAGCATGCTGAATACATGAATATGTATCCCTGCAAAAACCAAAAGCACTGTGCGACAACACATGCTATATGAACACACACACGGCTGTGAAGAAACACGCTTTACAGTATGCCTTAAGAAACAAAGACATGCAATCATCATATTCCTACATTTACTGTATTTTCAATCCAGTCGAGGCCGTATAAATCAAAATTAAATCTGCATCACAGAATTGCTTTGTTATAGATGCACGTCCCCCCACCATCACCACCATCGCGGGGGGAGGAGGAGGGAGTGTTGATTACCTGCACCTGTTTCAAGCTGAGAGCAACTGATGCAGTTAGCAGGCAAAATGCCTAATTAGTGCGCATTTCCATGTTCTGGAAGGAAGGCATCACGACGACAGGCCTGCCTGCACTGCAGCACCATGTGAGGAGGCCACAAGCTGGAGGCAGGTGAAGGCCCCGATCTGCCAGGAGCACACTTCGTGTGGAGCTGGGCCTGGCCACAGGGAGCCCACCTGCCTGCAAGTGGCTGCCAGAATGCTTCGGGGACGTGAATTATACACGCGACCCCCAAAAAAAACTCCAGGAAAAACCTGGTTGCAACAAGGCCTTCCTTCCATTCCTCCTTTGTATTTCTCCCTCACAGTTACAAAATGACTGTGAATACTTGGCAGATGTGGGGAAAAGCAGTACTGTACCAATGCACCCATACAAAACAGAAGCCAGCCTGATGTTACTGCCTGGCTTCGATGAAAACAACTCAGGGCTGCACCTACATCTGAAAGCGTGAACTCCTTTTCCATTCTCTTACCCTTTCTCCACTCCACCTCCTCCTTTTCCGCTCCCATTCGCCCACAATAAAACCTCCCTTAGCCCGATCCAAACCTTGCAGTCTTCACCTGGGCAAAATTCCAATTTATTTCAAAAAGTTTAGCCTGGATAAGAATGCCACACATCCAATTTAGCATCTCCACACATCACAATCCATCTACGTGTAAAACACCATGGGCTGTGCTCACTCCATGCACGCTGCCCTCTCCCCTCCACGTAGCAGAGCTCTGTGCAGCCCTGCATTGTGCTCACGGGCCTAGCAGATATCTCTCCTGCACTCCCTGCCCTAGCACCACCTGGTGAAAGCCAAGGCTTCGCTCAGGAGAGCCGGGAGCCTAAGAACATGACCTTCATTTACCAGCAACACCGTACATCTCTTTCTGGAAGATAAAAATCCACTCGGAGTAAGGGAGAAAGACAGTCTGGAGCAAAAGCAGTTTCTTCTTTTAACAGAGCATCTTAGATTATTTTCACTATATTCCACTAAATTATTATCTGAAAATATGCTAAAAATTCATCGTAGTCAATTATGGAAAAAAAAATATTTTCATGAAGAAAAGTATTGCCTATGCTTTCAATTTTTCATTCCATACACCAAGTATTTTTGAGGAAACTATTTGGCAGTTGGACACAAAATGCTTTCAAATGTAAATGCCTTAGCTCACGTGCATAATTCCTGAAGGCATTCATTTGAGGAGCGGAACATTTCTATCAGCAATTATTTCATGTTCTAGACTAAAATAATTTTGAATTTAAAACCCAATCTAATCAACAGATTTTAATCCCTCTTCTCCAATTAGCATGCACGTGATCTTTATGCACTGCTACGTCCACATTCAGCGCAGTTGAAGAATCCTCACCGTGAAACAAACCAGCAGTAAGTCAGTTCTGCCTCTTTCACTTCCACAGCGATCATTTCTAGCAAGCCACCACAGAATAATGAACTCACACACCAGAAGCAATTTTATATTCCTTTAAGTGCTACTATTCGGCAACAAGACAGCCCCAGCAAGTGGGACAACCTATGAGAAAAACCCTCTATAGATAAACAGCATCACTGGGGGCAATATAATGGAGTGCTCTGAAATTCCACAGAGAAGATTGTTTAGGAGTTTGCAATTTTAAAACAACTACTACAAGATCAAAATATGAGTTAATATTTTATCTGCACTGCCCTGGGCAGCTACTACATGCCTCTGAAAAGTACTTGGAAGAAATTAATTGTAGCTGAGCTATCACTGAGCCATACGTTCCCGAATTCCTTTCTTAATCTGCACAGTTCACCAAAACAGTCTCTGCTTACTTTGAGTTTGATCGGCCAATAAATACTACTTTACTGCTTAAAGTTACAAGTTATTTTTTCAGTTTACGTTACCATAAAACAGCTCAAATGCAATGTCAATAACGAGATGGTTTTGATACAGTACTGACAATGGCCTGAATTTAAAACTAGTGCTGTGCAAGCCACTGAGTATTTTCTATTTATTTTGCAAAGGAAAAAAAAAGAAAAAAAGAAAGAAAAAAGAAAAAGAATTTGGATTTGCTTTCTTGTATCCATGAATTTAAGTAAATAAATCAAATTAAATGAAAATATTCAAATATTTTACATGAGCATCCAGGTTTCTTCAGCATAGAAAAAAGCATTTTGTTATACAAATACATATGGAAGGACTAGGTATCATGAAGAGGCTCCTTAATTTCCAGATACTTTAGCTTGCATGTGCACTTGGCTGTATAAAGCACAGAAAGTGTCACAGGTTAGGCAATTTCAGAGTAATTATAAATCTGTAACCCTCTGCCAAATAATGCCTAACACAGAACATCCATAACTGCATGCTACTTAGACTTAGCTATAAATGGCATTAGTCTAATATTTAAGTAATACACTTAAGTAAATTTCTTCATCAACCCCCAAAGAGCAAGTGAAAGAGTGGGACCGAGCGTGAGCACGTACCTGCACATGTATGTAGAAGATAAAATAGAAAATACACTTAGAGCACTTACGGACCTTTGCAGGCTATCAAAAAAATCATTGTAAGAAGAGATGATACAAATGGCAATTATAAAGCAATCCTCAACAATCCCAGCTACCAGAAAAATTAAATATGAACCCTAGAAATACTTATGCCCAAATCTACATCGCTAAAAGAATTGGGACGCATAACTAATGTGATACAATTACTGAAGATTATCTCACAGTTACCTCAAAAATATGAGTTCAGGACGGGTATGGTGTTGCCCAGGCGTACAAATGGCACAAAACCCCATGGACTCGCTCCCAGGCGCATCGTGACTGCTCTGCACGCCGATGTCTAATAACGCCTGGGACACGTCGAAATATTAAATAGATATAAAAACTTGCACCGCCCAACTTTGTCGGTTTCTTTTCTTGAGCTTCTTTCTGTTTAAGAAATAAGGGAGGGGATTGCCATTGAAGCCAGCAGCTATTCTGCAATCAATGAAGGCAAGACTGGCACAAGTCCTGGAGATTTGCATTCAGAAATAAAAGCTGTGATCGACCTTTGTCTGCTAAGAAAACGAAGCCCGCTGCTTTTCGCCAGCCTGGCGAAGGGAGGGGCTGCCTCGCTGGGCAGGGAGAGCCCAACCTAAAACCCGCCGGCGGTGGCAAGTATCGCCGCACCGCGTCCCTCTCGGCCAGCCCTACGGGAGGGAGACAGAGAGGGAGGGAAGCGGGCTTCGACCTCGCCACGCTGCCGGCGGCCCCGCCGAGGCGCGATGCCCGCGCACTTTCTTTCCCCAAGTTGCGGTCCCCGCTTGCCGGGGCTCGGCTTACCCCTGAGCGGGCTGCAGACCGACCTCGGGCGGCGGCGTCTCCGCCTCGCGGCTCGGCGACCGCGGGAAGGGCGGGCGGGCGGCGAGCCGGCGGCCCCGCAAGTGCACGCAGGCCTGCGAGGAGGGAAGGCGGTCCTTACCTAGCGGGCGGCTGGCGGCTCCTCCGCACGCTCCCCCTGCCACAGCTGCTGCCAGCTCCCAGCGACAACAATGGGAGGCTGCGAGGGGTGGCATGGAGGGGAAGGGAAGGGAGAGGGGAGGGAGAGAGAGGGAGAGAGAAGGGGAGGAGAAAGAGAAGCATGTTAAGCTTGTCTGGTAGTTAACAAGTCTTGAATGAAGAATGTTAGCAAACAGACAAACAGCATGTCTGATGCATGCTAATAGTCTTGGCTTCACCGCTGACACTATGAATAATTCAGTAAGAGGAGGGTGGAAAAAAAAAAAAGAAAAAAAAAAGAGGCGCCCTCCATCCTCCCTTCACGCTTTCCAACGTCTGAAGAGAAGACAGGAATAAAAAGTATGCCACAACTTTCTCCTTCCGCCCTGCAGCCCGGGAATACCCGGCGAAGAGGCCGGCGAGGCAGCGCGCTCCCGCCAGGGCTCCTCCCGAGGCTCGCGGCTCCTATTTTTTGCCGGCTATTAATTTCCCCCACTCCCTCTTTACAGCCTATTCCACTCCTTTTGTCTGGGAGCTGGCACCTGTCCCAGAGGCAGCGTTTTGCTGCACATCTCTCTCCCCTCCGCCGCGGGGAGCAGACGGGCCCCCCGCTCTCCGCACACCCCCGTGTCGGCCATCGCGGGGGGCTCGTGGGCTCGGGGGGGGGGGGCGCTCGGAGGGAGCGGAGCCCCGCTCCGTGAGGCACGGACACCTACGGCCGCCGAAACAGAGCTGTAGTACAGAGGCAGGCAGAGCGACCGGCCGTTCCGTGAGCTGCGCGGTGTGCCGGTACTGGGTGGGGGGGGGGGGATGTGACAAATAAAAGCCCTCGTTCTCACAGCATACAAACTAGCGAAGCCCGATTCAGCGCTCGGCCAAAGAAATCAATTCCCCTTAACCGAGGAAAAAGAGAGAGGAGAGGGAGAGAGAGAAAAGGATCAGCGGAGGGGAAAATACTCGGAGTTTTAACCTCAATGCAACGAGATACAGTACGGCCGAGCCAAGCGCAGGAAAGACGGAAAATTAATCCGTTCTTCAGCAGTGAAAGGAGGGTTAAATAGAGAGAGAGAGAGACGAAGAGGGGAAAAAGCAGCAGCGCCTATGCACAGCATTTTAAAAAGTTCTGCTCTGGCAAAGGCCGTCTGAAGGGGAGGCCCTTGCAGCAGGAATGCGAGCGGCGGCAGCAGCCTCGTTCCAGAGTCCGGCCTCCCCCTCGCAGCGACTGCAGCCGAGAGGCGGAGGAGGCCGCGCTGGCGCGGCGCAGGGCCGGGGCTGGCGATAGGAGGGCGGCACGGCGCGGCACTGCCGAACGGCCGCGCACAGCGCACCGCAGCGAGGGCCCGGGATCGTGCGGGCCGCGGAGGACAGAGCAGCCGTGAGGAGAGACAGCGGGGCCGGCTAATGGAGCTTTTAATTGGGGGGGGGGGGGGGGGAGTGGGAGGGAAAGGAAAGGAAGGTCCTGCGGAAATATCTTCCGGGATTAAAACAAGGAGCGTCGGACTCCCGTCTGGATGCGGCCCTGTAGGAAAGCGCCGCGGAGACACCGCGAAAAAGCTGCTCGGAAGACCCACGGCGCTGAAAACGGGGATTGGAAAAAAAAAAAAAGTAAATGGTGTGTGTGACAAAAAAAGCTGGGTGATTCTGTTTTCTCATGCCCTCGCTCCTCCACCAGCTGCACAGCCAAGCGCAGGCTGCTTGGCCCTTATAACTATCTTGGCACGGAGTCAAAAGCTGATAAGCATTTGGGCGAGACAGCTCAACTGCTGTGCTGGAAGAAAAACAGCTGCCATGATTTCTGTTTGATTGAGAGCGCTTACACACACGCACAAAAAACACATCGGGCTGCAGAGACGGGCCACGAATGCCTGAGGATTCAGCTTCAGAAGAGCAACGCACGTTTCCTTAAAAAAAAAAAAAAAAAAAAAAAAGAAAGAAAAAGAAAGAAAGGAAAAAAAAAGTTTTATACAGTTTTGCCTCCATTCCTCCTCCCCTTTTTAAAGAAAATGTACTGCGTAGACTCGCTCCTCTCCTTCCCATCCCCCTCCATAACCTCAAGCAAACTCGAGGAATTGTGCCAAAAGTCCCGTTGCTAGTTACCGAGTGCGTTTTTTTTAAACGTCCCTTTGATACTTCTTCCCCTTGTGCTTGCCATGGAATATGCAAGTACGATAATCTTTCCATTACTTAGGGAAAGTAATTAAAAATGAAAAGAGCTTCTAGCAAGCCGTCCTTTTTCTACTTTTTTTTTCTCTGAAGGGGCAGAAGAAGGGAGGCGAGAGAGAGAAGAATATTTTTTCTCTTTGCAGAGTCCAACATTTGGCTTTTTCCATTTGTGGCAGATCACTGTAACGCTATTGTAAAACAACTTCCTGCCCCTTTTGGCTCCGGTTCCAGAAGCTGCTAGGCTAAGTTCATAGCGCAAACTTTTTTCCCCCTTGCCGAAGAAGAAAGGCAAAAAAAATATTCCTGCACATTATTTTCCTCCTTCTCCGGCTAATGGACTCACAAGGTGAATTCATTGCAGCTCTGTAAGAATGTCACACAAGAGACAGCGCTATCCCAGCTGGATAATTCATGAGCTGAAAGGTGGGGACATTATAACTATACGTCTGTCTGTGTCTCTGTGCGTGTGTGCATTTTAATTCTGTAACTTTGAGTTGCGAGTCTTAATACAGGTGGATAACGAGCTAAGCTGCTTCATCTGCTGTACTAATTTGTGTATCTATCATAGCGCAGATCACTGGTTTAGCACATACACCCTCCTGCTTTCCCGTTGCTCTCGCATTCCGAGGTGACCTGCTAAACCCTCCCTCCCTTCCTCTAGATGCTGGGTCTGATGAAAATGCCCACCGAGGACTGCTAAACCCTCCCTGCTAGGAATGAGATGGAGCAGTCTGTGATGCGAGCCAAAAGGGAGAAAAGAAGGCCTCTACAACTTGCTCTCTCACGATCTCCCTCTCCCTCTGTTTCTCTCATAGCAACAGCATTTCTTGGTACGCCTGCTTTGGCATACATCAGCATTTCTACCCGTCCAAGTGTCCTTTTGCGTCACATCTCGCCATTTCGCTCAACCAATGAGATCTCCTGCTTGCAGTAAAAATATATATACTTTTTCTGTTATTGGTATATTCGAATTTTTTTAAGTGCTTTCCTAATAAAAAGCGTTGTCGAGCATTCGGTTTGCCCTTTGTAAAAAAAAAAAAAAAAAAAAAAAAAGCAGGATTCAACCTTGTGAAGTCTTCTTTGTGGAAAATACGTTACCATCAGAAAAAAGGGAAAAAGAGATTACATGGCTACTTAAGGGAAGTTGTAGTTGTCCTCCTGATTTAATATTTATTTTGCTTATGCTATCATTGCTCCCCCGATGTACTTTTAGAGCAGCTGGACAGTTTCAACTAACTGGAAAAGTCAATACCACGCTGTTTCTAACACTTCTAAAAATATTCCTGAGGAAAAAAGATACTAATGTCTTATTCCTCTAAATATTGATAATGAGACGATAGAAAGAGTGAGATGGAAAAACAGTAGATGTGTGATCCTATTCCTTGCAACTCGCAGATCCTCACCCCCTTTCCCCCCCCCCACCCCTCAGTGGCTGCTCTCAGACCTACTACTTCCAAATGCAAGCCCCTGTAAAAAATTGCAGAGGTCTTCACATCCACAGAGGTTTTTTTTGAGATGCATTTCCTTCTTACATAAACTCACTGACTTCTAAAAATATGGTATTTAAGTGATCTGCTGTGGTAATGACAGTGGCAGCCTTACAGTAGGCTTGTAATGCAGCCCTCCCAGGAGCTGCATGCACTCTGCCTGACACAATTGCTAAAAGCAAGAATTACAAAGAACAGGGTATCCTGCATTTAGCAGGACATCCTTTCCCCCTATATATTATAAAATATATTAAAACCCATCTCATTGTTTTCGGCCATGACACTCCAGACAGAACGCAGTAAATGTGATTACATCTGCTCTATTAAAATGCACAATATTAGCTAAGTCTAGAAAGCACAGAGTGGCATGTGGGTCTCAGAACGGCTGGCTGAGCCACATCTTGAATGTACTGCAGTGACATATTTAGGGAACCTCTGCTGCACATTTTTATCCAGCCTCAAATCTCACGAAAATGCTCACCACTGGCATTCTGAGGAGAATAAACAGTTCCTTTGTAAGCCAGATACATGTTTTATGGTCTGCCCTTACCAGTTTCTATTTTTTTTTTTAATACTGTGAAACCACAAAATGTTTTTAATATTTATTTTTAGGGAATTACAGTAAAAACACACTGGAGGTTATCAGGATGTATCTGACATGATATTTAAACAGCAACTTTCCCACAAAGTTTTATGTTGGTAAAATCATACCTAGGAATTCTGAACTCTTCTTCTACTAACTTGTGTCTGCTGTGTATGGGCTGTAGATGTGTATTCATAAATCTTGAGTGCTTAGAAAGTAAAAGCAAGCATAACTTCTGGAGTACAGACTTAGCAACAGATAGCCGTGGTATCCTGCTAAAAACTCTTACCATTTTTATTTTGAAATAATGATGTCTGTGATAGCATTTATTTTTAACAGACATGCACAGATGAGAAATGTTAAGAGACTGTGATGATGCATTCAACAGCTTTTGATGCCAATGTGATATAAAAGACAGACCACTGTTTTAAGAAAGGATGAGGCTCACATTATGAAGAGCTTAGCTGGCAGTATTTTACTTGCATTTAATGGGATCTCCCAATGACTTTTTGCCCTTTCTCCGAGACGCTGTTTTCAGTTCCTTATTTACTATTGTATTTTTTATATAAAAATACAGATTTCCTTGTCCGTTACTCTTTATACCTATCCCTTTCTTTCTCATTTTTTATTCATAAATATGCAAAGACAGCTGAGTTCCATCTCTGCTTCTGTCTCGTAACTGGGATGGTTAAAAGTGCATCTCATTTACACAACTGCAGTTCACACTTGCCCACTGTATATTATCTTTCCTCAAGGAGATGCACAAATACATCATATCTGTCACCATAGCTGTAAAATAGGATGGCAAGTCATCTAACTGAAGATTACTGCTGTACTAAAAAAGAAAGGATTCGGGAAAGCAATTAAGGGAAGTCTAACTCGCATGCTTCACTTAAGAGAAATGGAATTCAAAAAAAGGAAGCAGAGGAATTATTTTAACACTCATTATCCCTGAATAATTTGAAATTATGTAAATTCTAAAACAGCCATAGTGTTGAACTGAAGTTTGTCTATTACATCATTTTATAACACTTTTCTCTCCCCTTATCACAAGTTCTGTCTATTGGAAACTCATTGACGCATACTTCTCTAATGCACTGATTTGTTTTCTTTCATTTGAACTTGGAGTGCTATCACATCTACGTTTTATGCAGTGCAGACATCAAAACATTTCTATACAGATTTGTGATCTTTTCTTTCTAAATAATATAGATCATTTTCAATATTGGAATGTTTCTAAACTAACAACCTCCAGAAATGTTTAATAAAATACGACCAGGTACATGTTTTTTAGAAAAATAATCCAATCAAATTTATTAAACTTTTAAGATAAAGATGCCCATAAGAGTGAAAATTCATATTTCTGAATTTGTACTTTTCATATCTATAAAATAATCCCAGTATTTGTTATATAAAGATCACCAGGAATATCTATACTTTTTTTTTTTTTTTTTTTAAAAAAAGCATCTTTTAAAAAATAGAAATAGAAGCAAAGCAGTTTGCCCATTGTTTCCTGATGGGATTGATGGTGCTCTGTGGGATTATAGTTATGTACACATCATAGAAATGTACTTCATTGAATAACTCACATTAATTCCAGAGGATCAGTGGCATATTAACCTAGAGGGGAAAAAACATTCAAAATACCAAATACAGACAGTTTTGATGCAAGCGATTCTGAAATGTAAAGGCACAGCTGAGCAAGGATGCATTTCCAGCATCCAACATAATGAAGCATCTTGCAAAAATGTTTCCTTCAGTACACTGTATATTAACGATAATGTTTTGCAGCAAAGTTGGCATTAAACTGGTACCAGCACAAAGGAAACTCTGGCAGTAGGACAAGCTTTTTGTTTTTTAATACTTTTTTCTCCCAGAGGAAGGAAGTATCAAACAGTGCATGACATTAGCAGTTTTTTAAAGGGTGTTACCAACACAATTTTGTTTATCGTGCAACTTTTCTTTTTAACTATACAAAACTGTATGCTTGAAACTGATGATATTAATAATTTTCTGGTATACCATTCCTACTGATGAAAATTCACATCTCAAGCAACTAATCAAAATCCAAGATAAGATTTTATTTACTGGCTTGTACTTATTTATCATAAATGTGCTATAAAGTTCCTGGAGGCTAATTTAACTGCAGTATATATTTGTGAAGGAGATGCAGGCTGGAAGCTAGGCAGCGGCAAAGTCACGTCAGATAAGGAGAAATCTCCTCAGCTGTAAAACATTGCTGTTTTGTTTTATTGACAGTGCAACTAAACTTTAAACCACGTCCAGTTTGCCCATTACTACTTGATGCTCTGACAGACTGCAGTCCATTCCTCACGCTGAGCTCAGACAATGCAGCTCCACTCTGCAGATTACCGTCTCCTATGATTTTGGGATCCCACATCATACCGGCCCCCCCCCCACCCCCCAGCTCTGCTGCCCCCAGCTGCCTGCAGCCCCATAGGTGCGGGTGCCTCCCAGCCCGGTCCCGATCCTCTTGTTGCTGCCCAGGGGCTCACAGCCCCAGCATCGCCTCGCGACAGCAGGCAGCCAGCCCAGGTCACAAATGGCCACCACGCTGCTAATTCCAGCAGGAAAAAAAAAACAGTTTTTTTCCTCTAGCTACACTCAGAGGAAAAAGAGATGGCACTTATCCCAGGAGATGCCATATTTCACATGCAGTGCTTAACCTTAGAAACATTAAAAGGACTTACCATCCGCTGTTCCTGTACCTTCAGCAGTGACTGACAACTCCAGTTCTCAAAGTTCAAGTGCTCTGCTCCAGCACTACTTTTCTTCTGATTTCACTGGGAACGCAGAGTTACGACAAGCTATTGGATTTTAAAACACACCCCTGTTTATTTAAATGGGCAGGTCTGCTCAAAATTGTGTGCCCTGAAGAAACAGCTACTGGGGGAGAAAGGGGGGGAGTGAGAGAATTAAAATACAAATATATAGAAAAAAGAAAGTAAATATCGCCTTGTAAAAAAATTATAAAAGTGTTGATTTTTAGAGAATATTAAGCTGCAAAAAATAAGCAGATAGGCATACTGAAATCTGCAATGAAAACCTGAAATTTCTTAGGTCCACAAAACAGGGCATTAAAATACCTTCATATTGCAAATTACTCACAGGCTTTTCAAGTAAGCAAGAGTTGCCGAGTGACCAAATTTTGTATTAAGAGGCTCTGTTTTTTATCTGTTTTACAATGAAGAGCTACAAAGTAAATTGTAGTAGGAACAAAAAGGAGAACATGCCACAGAAATTGCTCTGTTTTTTTTTGTTTGTTTGTTTGGTTGGTTGGTTTTTTCTGCAGTGAAACGTTAGTAAGGTGACAAATTCACACACAGTGGAAGAAAATAAAAAGGGTTATCCATTGTGATGACACATTCATAGCAGAGTTGCAATTATTTAGTATACATGAAGATATTTAACCCAAATTGGTTGCACACAGTGAATTCATGGGTACTTTATCCATTTATGAGCTGAACATTAGTATCCCATCTATTGTACATAGCCAACTTCAGTTTTTCAGTTCAATTAAATATTTCTCTTTAACCTTTTAAAAATAAAATATGTAATGAATCATGTGCATCTTAGATTCATCTGTCTAGATTGGCTATCTGAAGTCTCAGAGTGTAACAGTGTGTTGGCATTTAAATCCCATTTCTTAAAAAAGAAAAACAACCCTCTTAGCACGAACAATATTGACTCATAATTATTATCATGAAAAAAGAATATCAATGGTATAATAACTCTATTAATGTATTTATCTGTACAGATAGTAGAGGCTTTATATTATTTATATTAATTGCAAGTATAGATTACAGTTGAGGAAAAAATAACACCACATTTAATTCAGTACTTTATAAAATTTGTATTCCATGAACTGTCTTCCTGGGAATCATTTCTCCCCCATGTCATGTTATACTTACCAAAATTGCCACACTTGTATTCATTACCAGGCTTCCTACATTTTGAAAGGATGTCTAAATTTACATATTCGGCTTTAACAGTATTCTGCTATTTTTCAGCTTTAGTAAACAAAATGTCACACATAGATGTGATTCTGTATTTCCTTTGTCTAGAAATTTTTATTCCCATACGCAGATACAGTTGAGCATTCTGCTTATACACACACACACACACATTTCATATTTGACAAAAATGACAGAACGCACAGCAAGGATTTTAGAAAATGTGAATGGATTTCTATCCCACTCTCAAAGACACCCTGTGGACAATGCACTGCATTATGAAACGTGCACTGGGGAAGTCCAAGCAAACTCCACCACCAGCAGCTGCAGCAGTGCAGTTTTGCCTGTGGAGTTCACAGGCAGTTGGAGCAGGAAGGCCTCGGTTCAGAACAGCACCTCTGAATCGAACCATTTATGACTGTACAAGAAAGAAAAGACTTTTACATTATATTACCTTGGCCTTGAATATAATGCAAAGTATTTTTTCAAAAAGAGTGTGTCATCTTGGTACTGAAAGCAAAACAATCTTTCTTTGTAATTTTTTACTTTTTTACTTTTTGAAAGATGAATCAAATCCATACTGCCTAAATATATGCCACAATTTAATACTCGTTGTTTTAATGAAGCTTATTGCAGCATGACAAAGCTAAAACATTTCTAAAAGCAAAATATTCACTGGGGTTTTTCTATGCTACCTACACAAAAAGTACAATGTGAATGATAATGCTAGCACCTCAAAACTAAACGAAACAAACAAAAAAAACCCCAACAAATTAAAAATAATGAAAAACCACTTCCAGATATTCTTAGTGAACTATTTTTTAAGTTGTTTAAAAACACTTCCTTTTCAGAATACTGAAAGTTCCCAGGGGATATCGGTGACGAATCCATGCAAATTTCAACTCCCAAACTTAACCATTTTTTGTCAGGGCATTTTACTAGAGATTATAGATAGATGATAAAAACAATGAAATCTTACAAGGTCAACTCTTAAGTTGACTCTCAGCATATCATCAACATTACATTGCATGCAAATGCCATGTAATGAGTTTTTCTTGGTTCACAAAAAAATTCAAGAGAACTGTACAGTGCTTTTTCTAGTGCAACGAGGAACTTAATAAGAAAATCATGGAGGGAGGAAAAAAAAAAAAGACAGTGACACCTTTTGTCTCCTGGCAACAAGGCAGCAAGACTCTCCCTGACTCAATTAGAAATACATCTGCTTTTCAAAAACTTTTAAGCCAAATACCAAAACTGGAAAGCCTAAATTGCTTCCATCATTCAGCAATAAGAAGAAGAAACAATTTCTTCTCCCCCCAACAATTATATTAAAGAAACAACACGTACTTCAGCTCTTCAGCATGTAAGTGCACACACACGTGTGCTGTAACATGGCGGAGCACACATATCAAATGTATGCATATGTCCAGTCCAGTAGGCGTGAATACTGTTAGAGCAAGACTACACATTAATATTTGCCTCACATAAAATTGCACAATATAAATCACATTAATAACTCAGCCTGAAGATTACTAATAAAGGGTTACATTTGAATGACAGGAAAATCTTGGAAGATACTGTTTAGGACATTTTTTTTCTAGTTATACAAATAAACATGGCATTTAGAAAATGTTATAAAATATCTAACTATACAAAAAAATTGGTACTACATCAACAGTAATTTTCTCCCTTCAACGTTATCGTAGCAACTCATCACTACATTCAGAAAACACGTACAACTAACTAACTGCTCTGTAACTACCTGAATTGAAGACCTCATTCCCTTAATAGACCTGCAACAATTAGGGAAACGGTCATAAAGATTGGGTATTTCATCCAATAAAGCACACAAACCAAAATTCTGTTCCAGCGCTCAGTTGGCAGTGCTAGGAGTTTTCAGCACAGAAGGGAAAGCAAACAGACACTTGAGATTCATTGTGGGGATTTGTAAAACACAATTTTGCTTTAATACAGTACTTGCACACATGCTCAGATAGCAAATGGCTATGCCATACATACAGAGGAAGATTTTTATAGGAATATCAAATTTACAGTATGAGCATTCACCTTTTACTGGCCAGCAAGTGGCCAAAACCTTAATCAGGCTGAGAAATGTAATCCACTGGAAAAGATCACTTTGTGCTGGAACTACTATTTTATTCTAGCTTTTGTCTTTGCATTTCCCTAGCAGGGAACGCCATTTTGAGGCTGTTGTACATTTCTGTGTCCAAAGTGGATAATGCCTGAGGAAAACATACGAACGATATTCTCACACTGCAGAAAAAGGTAACCATGCAGTGCCACAGAAAAGTAGCATTTTTATTTTTACAGGTGCAGCTGAGGTTTGTCTTGTATTTTCTTGTATTAAAACCCACACACGTGACTGTTCAATACTGTATCTGCACTATCTGTAGCCATGCAGCATTTTGAAACTTCAATGTGTGGGGTTTTTTTTGTTTTTTTTTTTTTTTAATCCAAGCATTCAAAGGAAAGAGGCAGAAGGAGAAACTTCACCTGAAATCAACATGGGCAAACACGCATTTACTTCAAATGGCTGCTGCCAAGTTGCAATGGCCCTAAACCATTTATCACTCAGTCTGGTATTAGGTAAAAGTAAAATTAATAATAATTAAAAAAAATAGGTTCAGGAATGTCCAGTGTGCATGTGAAACCTGACCAAAACCATGCTGTACAGGATAGCTTTATAACTTTTCATTTCTTCTCTCCAAAGGATCAGGAAGATCTGCACGTAATAGAAATGGCTTAATATTCAAGGCAGAACAGACATATGTGTAATGATTGCTTAACTGGGGGGAAATGCTTTTCCATGTGAATAGTTCTTACTTCGTCTTCACTTCAGGGTCACATTTGGAAACAGTTCTGATAAAGCAAGTTAAGAAAAAGTAGTGCAGGAGTTCACATCTCTAATTTCCTAATTTCAGTAACGTCTTCGTCGAGGAAATAAGAAAGGTCTTGAAAAGACTAAACCAGTGTTTAGCTTTATCATGTATACTAAGTGGAAAAATCACTGACAGAAACAGTTATGCTGAGGACTCAGGTTCACACAGTAAAATAGACTATGCCCTGCTTACTCTTTTCATGCAAACTTTGCCTGGGATAAAGCACTTTTTAAACAGTTTTGTTGTTGTTTTAAGTAAGATGATTAAATAAGCAGTAAGAAAGTGGGGAGAGGGGAGGAAATGTCTTTTCAACACATATCTTGAGAGTTTTTATTCAGATATATCCAAAGCAGAAAATCTCATAAGGGCTCCACTTAGTAAGAAGCTTTCAGAAGTGGCACTTTCACTACCATATTATCATATTGTATGTTGTAGTATTTAACACAAAGAAAAAATAGCTTTCCTTTCATATGGGCACATAGTATATTTTTATAAGATTCCAACATTTTTCTGAGGAAAAAGTATTTTAAAATTTGAATATTAGTCAAATGTTTCCTTCATTTTCATTTTACTTTAAGCAGCTATCCACATTTTAAAACTGTCCTAAAACCCTTCAACTCCAGAGCAAGAACAACCCTGTCAATTCTTTAAAGCAAAGCAAAACAAAAACTCAAAAATCAATCCTACAAGAAAAATAAATGCCTTCACACTCTCTTTAGTATTTTAAATCCTGCAGGTAACTAAAAAGCAACACCAGTACTGAAGAACACATGGTGTAGTGAATGGACCTTGTATTTTCATAACTATATGTACTAATTTTAACTAATGAACATAAGTGAAGAATATACACATGCTAACCTGACATTCTCATCTTGATTGGATAGCGGGTACAGTAAGCATAGCTTTCCCCTCTGTCTTCTATTAAAATGTAAAGCCAGTAGTCTCTGCGAATTTCAAGTAACGAATAATGGAACCAGAAGGGTCTGTTTCAGAATTGCTGTATTCAGTGTCCCTGCTTACTGACATACTAACTTTGTGCCCTTCTTGCTTGGCTCAGCTTTAAATGCAAGTTTTTATTAAAATGGAATGACATTTGAGTTGCTTGGCCACTTTTTAATTTTTTTTTTTTAATTAATATTTTAATAATATATAATTATTTTGCTGTATTACAGAATACATTTTTAAATCCACAAGTAGACAACTGGAAATGTTTGTTTAAATAGCACAACTGCAAATAAAATAAGGGAAAGATGTTAACTTTTAAATTGTAATGCCAGGAATGCCAAGTAAACAAATTAAAATGAAGAGAGAGAGAGACAGAAAGAGAAAACACTGCTGTCTCACACGAAAGACAATTAGAGTACCCTGTATTGAGTAAATCCATAGTACAGCGTAATCTGAAGCAGCCTAAAAGGAGTAGCAAGAAACACGCATTGGATACTGCAGCAAATGGTATTAGCAGTGCTGTTCCCTAAGCCATAAGGAAAACCCTCTCTGAAATCTGTCCCACCAAAATGGTAGTCCCTCAGGGATTTATGGAGGCACAAAAAGTGGAGGAAAAAAAAAAAAAAAATCAGTATGCCCTGAAATGCCCAAGTCTAAGAGCTAACCCCTACTATAATGCACATTTTTACCTTGATGCTATGTTTAGAGCCATTTATGTTCAGTCCTATGAGCCTCAAAGTTTACTACTGTAATATTACTTATTTCTGTGATGGCACTGTTGTCAGTTCCCCCATACACATACACTCCACCTGTGCTCACCACTTACCTTGCTGGGTTTTACACTACTTGCCTGTCATCAGCAATTACAGGCTTTTTTTTTTTTTGCTTTTTTTTTTTTTTTAAATAGAAGGAAGAGTGGTGGAAAAGAAGTGTTTTGACCGAAGATATGTTTGCAGTTCAAGTAATTGCTGTACGATCTATCATTTCACAGATTTTACTGCTGAACAAATAAAAGCAAAGAGAAATGAAAAATAAAAAACATTTTTCAGTGAAAGGTGATGGTTTACTATTGTGAATTTTCCAAATACTTTATCTCAGATATAACGTTATGTTCTCCAGTCACAACAAATAAAAACTAGATGTATTGCTTTCTGCCACCAATTGCTTTTAAAGGCAAAAACAAAAACTCCACCCAACAAACCAGTTTGTTTGTTTTTAACAGAATTAACTATAAATGAGAAATTCCCAGTCCTGCCTGGCTTTGGACCACTCAGTTACCGTATCTGGCTTCATGTTTGCTACATGCGTGTATTTGTGTGACGCAACGCTGGGAAAATGCAGTGAGAAAGGTGATGAGCACAGTCTGATGAGACACAGCATCACGTTTCCTTACAAGCTGAATATCAGCACTTGTCAATTGTAATACTCTGAGACGCAGCCACGACCTTGGAGGCCCAAGTTCAATGCTGCAATCGCTACAGCATTTTTCTTTTAAAAGAGAGAAATCCTGCAATTTTCTCTCACCTACTTCTTCTTCCCTTGGAAAAGTCCTGTAGGAGTTGGAGGGAATTAA